TACCACCTCGAAAGCATGGAGCACTCAGTTGCACTTTCCACTGATATTTTTTCAAGCACTACGAGCGAGAAGAGAACAGATTGTGGGCTTGAAGTGATCGCAAGTACGAAATCATCTTACCGATCGGGATATGCTAGTGAAACCGTCCGTGCTCTTCAAAATCGCTAGCCAAGCAGGGTCATATGACAATTTCATTTCGACGTCCTCTGCAATATCCAACTCCAAAGCCTGGAAAGTCACATCACATATATGCTGTGAAGTAAAAGACAACTTTAAATGAATTGACCTGAATAAAATGCCTCCTGGGAATAGGCTTATCCAAAGCCAAGAAACGCGTTGGCGCAGCACATTCAGAGCCATCCTTTGCTTTGTGGGGAACTAAAGCGGCGAAGGCTACATGCAAGTGTGCTGATAGCCAGTAACGCGGACGTATATCCTGAATGACTGTATAACATGACACATGAACTAGACATGAATCTTACTCAAGGCTGAAGTAAAGAAAAGCTCACATAAAGAAGTTGCATTGTTGAAGGGTTTCCCAATTTTCCACTTTCAATATCAGCATAAAAGAACGGTTTGATTCTCAGAAGTGATTGTTTATCACCATAATCCACAATACCAGCTGGCCAATCATGGGTCACCATTATATCTATGGGGTTCTTGAACGAAAAGGAATATATATGCATAAAGAATAGAGATCTGGAAATCAGTGGAAACTCACACTAGTGTAGTCATCGTCGGCAGGCCTTAATTGTTTTAACCTCCAAACATCAGTGTTTCGAACATGATATGAGGATATCACTTCAGAGCGATCAGAATACGGCGGACGCTCGTAATGTCCTAGAAGGAGAAACAGTTATTAGAGAATTCCATCAAACAGAAGGTTTCAATTTAGACTTGATTAGAATACAGAAAATCCAACATTATTCGATAATTAGGAATAAAGAGTGCAAATAAACCCATAGTTCGAGAAAAAAATTAAAAAAAAGATTGGGAAACGGAATTTAATTGGTAAGCCGTCAAGGATCATGATGAAACCTCAAACCGTTACCTCGATTAAATTCTTTCCCATTAAATATTCCTGACAGACCAGCTATTC